CATGAAAGGGTGAGAGGTTTCGACAAAATTATGAGACTTGCTTGTTTTGGTCGAAGCTGTTTTTTTTGCGTAAGGAGGGTATGCTGAATAAGATTCGAAGAAAAATATTTTAAAGTCTTAGAAGTTGGTTCGACAGAAGATGGTGATGTTGTTTCGACATATGATTTGAATTCAAATAAAGGAGGGAACTTTTGTTCTTATCCAAATTTGTGAAAGAGACACGTGGAGCTTTTCTAAGGAAATGAGACATGTCGAGCGCCATTTGTCATTTGTTTGTAGGAAGACCGTTAGGGTTGATTATTTTTTATCATTATAAATAGAGGGTTCTAGAGTTAGAATCGGGGTGTGTTCAAAATTGTACAAAGTTTCTAAAATTACTCAAAGTATCCGTGTGCAGAGAAAAGAGTGTGTCAAGAAAATGTACGTTTGACAAACACCATACTTTTTACACTTTAATGCAAATTCCATCTTTTCACCACAAAGTCTATCTTTTTATTATTCAAGTTATTTTTGAATGCATTTAATTGTCTTTGATTAAGTTTCTAAATTTTACTTCCTTTAAATTTCGAAGTTGATAGTTGTTAGATCATGAGTATTGTTGAAATATTCATCATTTCCCAAACTTTAAATTAAGAATTACTAGCACATGTCTTAGAATTTGTATGGTCGATCCTGTAAGTACCCAATTCTTTTTCAATTGGAAAGACCTGCGGTTGTTTACTAATTTTCCTAGTAAACAAATTGGCACGCCCATTGGGATAGTGTAAGTAGTGTTCTAGTTGCAATTTCGTTTGTTGTTTTTTCTCTTTGAAGACTTCGTTGTATGTTATTAAGAAGTGGCAAAGTAGCCACCAATAATGAGGATAGACCAAAGAGAAGATATACTAGAAGAATGGAGAGTTCAAATCAGCCAAAATGTTTCAATTCCTCAAAGTTCATCGAGTAATAATCGAGAACCTCCCCAAGTATCTTCGATTGAGGGAACCATGGTCCCATCGACTGTATCAAAACCAATTCCATCCATGGCAAGTTCAATGCCCACACAGTCGATTACCCATAGTGAGCCAGTTCTAAATTATACTGGGCCAATGAGCCCTCAAGTAACTCCTTCACCAGTGGGGAATGCTTCGAATAGGCCCGTCATGCCACTAGGTTTCTCTATGTCTTTTGGCAATCGAGATCAACCTTATGAAATGCCAACATCCATGATGGCGAATTTGCAGAACACCGCCTCAACATTCTCAAAACCTGTAGTGAATGTTACTTCGCCATTATAAGGATCAGAATCTAGGATAAACATGGGTCGAAATAGCTAACCTGTAGGAATTGGTTATTCCACCTAAATGCTAAACTTGGCCAATAATTCTGCAGCACTCATTAGGAAACTAATGGATGAGAGTAACCACGAAATGATCTAAATGTTGGCCCAAACAATAGGGACGATTCTTAATCCCCTAATATAAAGTACCACTCAATCCAACCAACAAGTGATGACACAGATGATACGCCTTGCATATTTTTTTGGAGTACCACAACCTCCTCGACATCCACAGAGAGAATGCATATTGGAAAACCAGTGAATAGCCCTCGAAGAAGATCCCACTATTAATCAGGTTTAACAAAACCAAAGAGATCCGCCCCATGCAAATCTGTCGATGCAAGAGTTGCACTTGAACAACCTAGAGTCAAACTTCCCAGAGCCCAAACTCAAATTCCCATCGAAGAGAGACCTAGGGTAGTAATGGTGAATAAGGACCAAAATGTTGATAACGTTGTACAACAGAATCGACGTGTTATATGGCCGCAAATAATAATCTAGCAGCCATGGTCGAAAGGATAATGGCGCGAAATGGGTTAAACTTTGGTCTTCAGATACCAAACTATACTTTACCATTATCAGAGTATATTTTACAATCAGACCTACCCCCTAGATGGAAATTTCCTAAGTTCACTAAGTTTTCTAGGGATACCACTGAATCCACTGTAGAGCATGTGGCTAGATATTTGATAGAGGCTAGAGAGATTTCGAATAATGAAAATATTATAATAAAATATTTCCCTAGTTCTCTCACCAAAAATGCTTTTACATGGTTCACAACCTTGCCACCGAATTTGATCTATAACTGGACTCAGTTAGAAAGGTTGTTCCATGAACAACTTTATATGGGACAAACCAAGATTAGTTTGAAGGACTTGGCCAGTATCAAACAAAAGTTTACTGAGCCAATAGATGATTATTTGAATTGGTTTTGTTTTCTTAAGGCCATGTGTTTTACATAAGTGCCAGAGCGTGAATTGGTCGAAATGGTCGCTGGAGTTCTAGACAATTATATTAGGAAGAAACTAGATACCCAGTACCTAAGAGATATGGGCCAATTGGCTGACAGGGTTCGACAATTAGAACGCTTAAAGGAGGAAAATGCTAGAGCAAATAAAAACAAGAGGGTGGCCTATGTCGAATTTAATGAAGATGATGAGGGAAAATATAATGAACCTTCAAACTTTGACGAAAGTGAGATCGATCTCGCTGAATTAAAGTAAGGGCCCACTTATTCGTGTAAGGTTTTAGCCCCTTCAAACGGCAAGAACCCGCTCGAATCAGATAAGAACGATAGGTTCCCTAAGAGAACTTACACCTTCAACGTCACCAAATGTGAAATTTTTTTGACTTATTAGTTAAGGATGGTCAAATGATAGTGCCTCCCGGTGCTAAAATGCCTCCTTTAGAGCAAGGGAAGAAAATAGGGTTTTGTAAGTATCATAACTTTTTGGGTCATAAAACATATCAATATTTTCTTTTTAGGGACCTTGTTCAAAATGTCATCAAGGACGGGAGTTTGAGGTTCGGTGAGAAAGTGAATACTCAGATGAAAATCAATGTTGACCTTTTACAAGTGACTGATGCCCATTTCACTGAACCTGCTGTTATCAATATGATCGAAGTTACTAATGACTTCACTCATAATGTTAACATGGTCAAAGTCACTAGTGACTTCGTCAATGATGCTGTCATGGTTAAGATCACTGAGGATCTTGACGAGAAAGTTATGAAAGATTGCATATGTGAGGCTATTGATAGTCTCACCAAAGGAGCCATCAAAGGCGCTAATAACGAAACTGCTGATGGTTTTGATACAACAGGAATCACTGAGGATTCTAATATGGTAATGGTGATGGAAGAGACTGTTGATGGTTTCATACGGATGGACAAGGCTGCTGATGGCCTTACAATGGAGTTTCAAAATCTGGACATTACTGAGGATGTCACTATGGATATCAACATGGTCAAACTTTCACAAGAAACTTCGATGGAAACTGATGAAGAACGACGTCAGAAGGAATATAACAAAATAGCTTTCTCAAAGGAAGAAGAGAGTCTGAACAACTTCCTGCATATGTTTCAAAAGAAAAAGTTGGAGGTCATGCTCTGCCCAAGGTGTAGCGATGTGTTTGACAAAAAAGAGGCCCAAAACATGGAAGGAGTTCGATTGGCGAAGGCCAGAAGAAATTGGAAGGACTCCGGTAGCCAGCAAACCTTCGACAAGAGATGGCCATACAAGGGGCAGGACCAGGCCAATCAAATATTCCCAGGTGCCAAACCTACCACCTTCAAACCAACTGCAGAGGCTTCAAGAGAAAAATGGGCAAAGCCAGTCGAAAACGGAGAGCAAGGTCAACAAAGCTGACAGAACTTCGAGGTCAATAGGGGTTCATCAATTGGGTACCGTAGGGAATTCCAGACTTCCAGGAAGTTGGCCTATATCTCTGAGAACTACAAAGGCAGGAATCCAATGACCAGATCTCAATGAAGAAGGAAACAAAGGAGAAGGAAGGCATAAAGGGAGGCTATAGAAAATCAGAAAGCTGAGTTAAGCACCAATGTGCCTGCTGAAAACCTGCAAGTGTTCCCATTGAACAAAATCACAGGATAAGCTTTGAGGAGGAAAGTGACAAAGTTGACAAGGGTCAATATCAGAGATTAGTGGGGAAATTGATTTACTTGGCACACACTAGACCAGATTTAGCATATGCAGTCAGTGTGGTGAGCCAATTCATGCATGATCCGGGGGTGAGACATTTGTAGGCTGTAGACCGCGTTCTACAATATCTTAAAGCAACTCCAGGAAAAGGACTTTTGTTTAAAAGAGGTGGGAATTTAGCTATGAAGACTTACACTGATGCGGATTATGCCGGCTCAGTGAGTGACAGAAGATCTACGTCGGGCTATTGTACTTTTCTGTGTAGTAACCTTGTAGCTTGGAAGAGTAAGAAGCAAAGTGTAGTTGCTCGATCAAGCGCCGAGGCAGAATTTAGAGCTATGGCACTAGAAATTTGTGAACTATTGTGGATGAAACAAGTTCTAGAAGACTTGAAGATACAGTGTGAAGGCCCTATGGAATTGTTTTGTGACAATAAATCGGCTATTAGTATTGCTCATAATCCTGTTCAGCGTGACAGGACTAAACACATTGAGATTGACCGACATTTTATCAAAGAGAAGTTGGATAGTGGACGGATAACTACATCTTACGTTCCTTCTGGGCATCAGCTCGCAGATGTGTTAACAAAAGGCTTACCAACAGAAAGATTCAGGCAACTTACTTGCAAGCTGGGAATGATAGATATCCATTCACCAGCTTGAGGGGGAGTGTTGTAAATATTAGACTGTAAATAGTAATTAGTAGTATTAGTAATGAGACCCATTAGTTAAAATCCATTAGGTTTTCTATTCTCTCTTATTTAAAACATGTAGTTGCAACATTATAAGAAGAACTTTTAATTCCATCAGTGAAATATTTTACAACACTTTATAAAGAGGAAAGAGAGAATCCAATCTAGACCCTTACTTTACCAGACTTCTATATAACCAAGAGCTAGCAAAGGAAATAAGGAACAACTTGTTAATTAGGACAGGAAATGCATGCTTTCATACAATTGTTTAATAAAACATTCAAGAAATGAAAATCCATCATTTTCAACATGAATATTTAGCTAGATGTCTAGGGTTTCACAAATCCTAGTTCAACGTCCAAATCTTTTTCTTCAAAGTCTTCTTCTTCCAACTCTTTGACAGCATGCCAATTTACTTCAAGAGCTACCATCTTTGCTTTCAATCTCATCATTTCCAATTCGAGAAGTGCCTCATTATCTTTTAGTTTTTCTACCTCGTCTAATTTTTTGAAATATCCCTTCATTCCTAAAGCTGATTGAACATGAGGCTCAAGCCACGACAAATCAAAACCAAAGTGTTCAAGTTCCTCCCAGAAAATTTGCAGTTCATTACAAGCAATATCATTCATATCTTTCATCTTTTTAGTCTTCAGAAAATAAAGAATTCTGCCGAGAGCATTGAAAGCCCATTCCCTAAACTTTTGACTTCTTTTCTGCTGGCACTCAATAAGTGACGGGTGCTGAGCACAAACTTCATCTAACAATGGAACTAACGCCTTTTCAATTTGTCCAAAATCATTGAAATCCATAAGCTTGCCTATATTTTCGCCATTACTTTTGTCTAGCTTAGGTCTTAGAACTTCAACTTCCATTTGTACTATTTGACTTCCAGATGTATGAGAAGTAATTAAGCTAGATTCCTGTTTCACTTGCTTGTCATTTTTTGAGTCACAAATAAAAATCTCTGCACCAATAATACAAATATCTTTCACAACAAATCCGCAAAGAGGATCATGGAGGTTACCTGAAGTCACGAAGCATTTGTTACTCCATGTATCAAAATTTGCATTGAATTCCACTTCATCCTCTGTGAAAAACATATATCAACCGTCAATTTAACAACGACTAATGGATTGTAAAAAAAACTGCTTCTAATGAAATAAAATATGGTTACTATTGTTTCAATCATGATTGAACTCGAATAATTTCAATCAGTCAGACTTCAATCATTTAAAAAATCCACAAATAAAATCCTCTCTTAATTTTGAAAGACAATGGGAGATACTCTAATGAAAAACAAAAAATCATACATAACACCTCTCTTCCTACGGGAGATATGATTTAATCAAATCATCGAATAAATAATGATGTGTCTTTTCGAAATGAAACCACATATAGAAACAAATGAAAAATACCTTCTATGATTGATTCGTTGCTGTCGATCTGGTTAAGTAAGAACAACTTAAATTTCACATGTCTGCTCCATCCATTGGACATATTAGCAGTTTCCACAGCACTAAAAGAAATTGATAAGTCGCCTACATCGTAAAAAAAATTGATAGCTTATTCCTACTACTTTCACGAGAGTATGTTTTATTTGGTGATTTATATTTAATGCAATTAGTTAAAAACAAAATTGAGAAGTGGAGAGCTGCAGAATCAGCTAGGAGCAGATATCTTCTCTTTTGAATCCTGCTAAATTCTTCCAAATTCCACTAAATGCTACTAATCATTTATGTGTTGGATCAATTTGTATATTATGACTGAGGAAGTGATTTGTATTAGATCAATTTAAGATTATAATATTTCTCAATGATATATTTTTTTGGTAAAGCTTTTTTAATGATATTTTAATAAAAATACTATTTTCTCTTATTTTTATATAATTTTCTTAATTGTAAAATATTCAACTAATTCAATTATTATTTTTAAAATAAGCCACTTTAGTTGTTTGTTTAATTTACAGTTATGCTGATTGACATGTCATGAAAAAGAAGTAGTTTATATTTGTGACAATAGTATTTCTTTTAATTTTAAATAATTATAAATATATTCCATTTACTTTTAAATAAATATCATTTTCACATTTTTAATTTTTATTTTTAATTGTCATTTATGTTGTTACAAATGAGTTCTAATTTTAACTGAATGTAAATTCTATTTATATATAAATTCTAAATCTGAGATGAAACTCAAATGAAACTTAAACTCAAATGACACTTAAATGAAATGTAATTAACTATTTGAATTTGAATTACAACTAACATCATCCCTTAATTTATATTCAAGACTAAAAATTAACAACACAAATTTCACTTCTCACATTGATGAAGTGTTCGGTTTTGATTGCCTTAGTCATCGCATCTGCAAGTTGCTTATGAGTGCTACAATGAACAACTTCAAGCACTCCATTCTAAACTTGATTACGCAGGAAATAAAACTTCGTGTCAATGTGCTTACTCCTTCCATGCAACAATGTATTCTTGGCAAGCTTATAGCTGATTTGGTGTCAACCATTAACCTCACCGGTTTGCTCACCTTGACACGCAGACAAAGCACCTGCAATGTACTCAGCTTCACAAATTGACAATGCAACCATTGGTTGCTTCTTGGAGCACTAAGAAATGGGACTTCTTAGATACTTGAAGAAATATCCAGAAGTACTTTTTTTTGTCAAATCTGTCTCCACACTAATCAGAGTCTGAATAGCATATCAGCTCTGAATCAGATTTAACACTAAAAGGGAACAAATCTCCATACTTCAGAGTCCCCTTAATATACCTCAGTATCCTGATAGTAGCTTGATAATGTGACCACTTTGGTTTGTTCATAATCCTATCCATCATTCTAACTGCATAATATATATCAAGTTTGGTTTTACAAAGATATCTCAACGAGCCCACCAACTGTTTAAAAGTTGTAGCATATACATCATCACCATCAACATCAGAATCCAGCTTGTGATTTGTTTTAGCAAGTGTGATTACAGACTTGTAATTTATTAGCTCAAATCTCTTCAGAAGCTCTTTTTCATGCTTCAGCTGATGCAAAATTATACCCTTATCAAAGTACAAAATCTCCATTCCAAGAAAATATACCATATTTCCTAGATGAGTCATCTCAAACTCATCCATCACCACCTTATTGAACTTAGTTATCTCATCTAAACAACTCATTATTAGAAATATGTCATTAATATAGAGACACGCTAGAATCATATTGCTATCAAATATGTGTTGGACATAAACACCATACTCCATCTCACATTTTCTGAATCCTCGAAACCTTAAAAATGAATCAATTTTTAGATTACAAGCTCTAGGAGCTTGTTTTAGTCCATACAAGACTTTATGCAACTTGTACACCATCCCTTCTTAATTATTTTTGATAAATCCAAGAGGTTGTGACACATAAACTTCCTCTTGTAAAGAACCATTCAAAAATGCAGATTTCACATCTAAATGCATCAGAGCTAATTTTTATTAGCAACTATATCAATCACCAATCTGATCATTTCATGTCTAACTATAGGTGCAAACATTTCAAACTAATCTAATCCATATTTTTGTAGAAATTCTCTAGCTACTAACCTTGCTTTGTGTTTACCAATAGATCCATCTGGCTTCAATTTCAACTTGTAAACCCATCTCATAATGACGACTTTCTTGTTCTTTGGAAGCTCAGTCTAGTCCCAAGTTTTTTTTCTTTCTATAGTTTCAAGTTCTTCTTTCATGGCATTTATCCCCACTTTCTTCTTAAGAGCTTCTTCAATACTAGCTGGTTCAGAGTCTACCAATATGACACACTGAAAGACTCCCCTTTCAGAGTCTATCTCAATATCTTGTAACATGTCAACCTCTGCAAATATTCTTGGTATTTGTCTGATTCTTTTGGCATCTAAACTTGTTCAAAATCTTCTTTAGATGCTAAAAAAATATCAGATGTTGGACTACCTTCGATGCATGACCACCTTCAGAGGCATGATTACCACTAGAGTCTAGATCATCATCAAAATTTGGAATATAATCAGATTCACCTTTAGAGTTAGACTCGCCTTCAGACTCAACTTCAACATCAAAGTCACCTTCAGAGTCAAACTCGCCTTCAGACTCAACCTCAGCATTAGAGTTACCTTCAGACTCTGACTCATCTTCAGAGGCAAAATCCCTTTCAAAGTCAGATTCTCCTTCAGAGTCTGAAATATCTTCAGAAGTTAACTCAGGCGTTAACACTATACCATAGTTGGATTGAGACTTATTCCAATCCCACGCATCTAATTACTTCAAAATAACATCTCTATTGAATTCAACTTCTGTAAGTGACAGGACAATAGATCTTATAAGCACATGCACTGTGGTACTCAATCAGTAACATTACTTTGCTTCTACCATCCAACTTTCTTCTCTTAGTATCTAAGACATGTTTATAACATACAGAACCAAACACATTCAGATGTGTCTCCAGTCAACTTCTGAATAAGAACTACTCCTTTCAACTTCTTTATGGGACACCTATTGATCACTTATGCTGCAGTGGCAACAACTTCTCCTTACAAAGTGTGAGTGAGATTCTTCTCCATCAACATGCTCCTTGTCATATCAAGCAAAGTTCTGTTTCTTCTTTCAGCAAGATCATTGTGTTATGGAGTATATGGAGCAGTCACCTCATGTTCAACTCCATTCTCTTCACATAACCTTCTAAACTTTGATGAGTTGTACTCACCTCCACTATCAATTCTAAGAACTTTCAACTTCTGACCACTCTATTTTTCAGTCTTCATCTTGAACTTGTGAAACTCAGCAAACACCTCATGCTTAAACTTGATGAGTTCTACCCATGTCATTCTTGTGAACTCATCCACAAATGGTACAAAGTACTTATTTCCTCCAAGTGAAGGTACTTTAAATGGTCCACATACATCAAAATGCACTACTCCTAAAGCATGTCTTGCTCTTTGAGCCACTCCTTATGCAAATGGAAATTTAGGCTGCTTGCCTTTCATGCATATCTCATATGTATTCTCAGGCTTCAAAATCTTAGAAATTCCTTGTACCAGCTTCTTAGAACTCAGATGCCCTAAGCTTCTGAAGTTCATATGCCACAACTCACTGTTACCTTCGGTACCTTCTGCACCAAGATATTTAGTTTCAGTTGTTTCCATATTCACCTTGAATATTCTGTCGCTTCCCTATTCAGATTGCATAATCAAATTTCAATCAGAATCATACAACTTCAAGAGAATGTTCTTCATAGTAATTGAGAAACATTTCTCAATTAGCAGACCTACACTCATCATATTTTTCTTCATGCTAGAAACATACCAAACATCCTTGGTCATAATAGTTTTGCCATTCTTCATTCTCACTTTGACATTCCCCATTCCTTCAACATTAAGGTACTTATAATTATCACATCTAATTTTTGTTCTCTTTATAAAGTCAAAGTTAATCAAGCAGTGTCCATATATATGGGTGGAAAAATGGTTGTGGCCCGTCAGGTCGGCTCGCACACCCGCAAAAAAATGGCATGTTGGGTTGAGATTTTGGGCCCGTCTACCAGTAACACCCTACTCTACCATTGACTTAATAAATAGAAATAAGAAAACAGTTTGCGGAAAAATCAGAGTACACACGTAGGATGTCACATCAATATAAAATCTCATGAAGCATTAAGTAAATTCATGTCTTATTTCATCATGAAAAGAAATTAATTAAACATCGAAATAATCAATTAGTTCGGCACTAAGGCCCCAATTACATCCAACATCCACAAAGCCCGTGGTTCTACATCATTAAACAAAATCAAGATACGTAACAAATAACAAATAACTAAAAAGTAACTAAATCCCCATCCTACTCATGTTACATATCAAAGCGACTCCTAAGACTCGATCAGAAGCAACACAAGCTCCAAGCACTACTCAGGTACGTGATTATATGTACTCCTGAAGGAGCACAGACACAACAGCAGAAAAGGGGTGAGAATTACATTCAATAATTATACGGTGAAAATCACATGCTAAGGTGTAGTAATTCACACAACTCACGCCAATCAACATTCACAACGCACATACAAGTGCCACATCACCACTCGGCATATT